AATTACCTTGGCCTAAGGCTTGTAATGAAGAACATACAGATACTATTTACTAGGCCTATAAATAACAACTAGCCCAAGGGGAATATCTTTTGTGTTATTTCCCCCTTTGTCTAAGTTCCCCAGAAAGATGTTGGTCAGTGGTCGTAATCAAAGCGGAGGCTACACCCCTAAACTGGCCGTCATCAACTAGATTAGCCGAGTGTCAACCAATTAGGTTAATTTCACACGCTTGAGTTGCGATGATGTCAGATCGCCCAAAGCTACAGTAGCTGCACAGCAAGCACATGTTTACAACTACATTACTGCAATTACTGCTCGAGTCAGACACATGCGCACACAACGGTAACCACAAAAACAGTTTGTATCAACAACACACATGAAAATTCTCTCATGCTCCGTCACCTGTCTCTTATACACATCTAGATGTGTATAAGAGACAGGTATTACCATGGCAGTGTATTTTTAAAAATTAGACAGAGACGTTCTCTCAGATCAGAAGTTGTTAATGACCTTTTGACCTGAATTCTGCAATATGAGATTTTCGATTTTCGGGTCGATTCAGTAAGGACGGCCCGAGTGGAGTTTCATGTAAATGTTTCGTACGGAAAAAAAAAAATCGACGGCCGGAAATTGTTGTTGAAGAATCCCGCCAACTAGCGGTTGCGAGTGCAGTGTGTAACGTTGTAGGTTAGGCCTAGGTATATTTATTAATTCTGTTGTTTCAGGTAAGTAATAATAGTAAATAAATATTATTATTATTGGAGTGATTGTTTAGAATGATCTGTATGAGCAGTTATCGTACGGAAGATATAGGCCTAGGCCTAATATTGTAATAATGAATGGCCTATTTATTTTCATTACCATTCATTCACTGAAAGACACGTCGACCTTGCTTGTTGCAGGCCTAGCCTACCCTACTTAGCCTAAGGCCCTAGGCCTAGCCTAGGCCCTAGATAGGCATAGGTAGGAGGGCCTAGCCTAGGCCCTATGCATGGGCCTAGGCATACCATCCTAGGCTAGGCTAGCTAATTGGCCCTCTGTCTGGTGTATGCCAAGGAGCCTTGGTGGCTAGGATACCATAGTAGGCCGCGTAGGCCTAGATCTCGGCCTAGCCTAGGCCCCTGCTATAAAGTAGTGCAGCGGTCATCCGTCAAAATGCCGTCACTTGGAAAACCGCTTAGCTCTAGGTAGGTGTGACGACCGGTGCATACCTTTGGCAAATTGGTCTGAAGGGTCTTTGGTCCTAAGACCCGTTGGTCCGAAGGGTCTGGTCTGTTGTCGAGAGGGTTTTTGGTCTGAAGATCCGAATTTTAGTGATCTGGTTTTCCAGGAATGTAAGTTATACATTTTGAAATTGTGTATTAACCGCCGCCAGTTTTTGCTTATAAGAAATAAGTAAATAGTAAAACCCCTCATCAAAAAAATATTTTAAAATAAAATAAATTAAATCCTGGTTGTGAAAGTAAGTAATAAAACTTATATGCATGGGTGGTCATCACTTGCTTGTAGCAGTATTATGGAAGTTGTGTGGGTGGGTGTATTCTCTTCCTTCTCAGTCAGTTAAGGTGCATAACATAAACTTAATTCAATTCAATCTTATTCAATTAATGATATTTAGAGGGATTTTATCAACTCCAAGAGGTATGTTAGGTGTCTGAAGTTTTTTCACACGATTGTGAGAGTAGACCAATTTTGGCGTTTATCATGTTCCAAGTTCAATTTATTTGACATCATCAAACTATTTACAAAACGGAAGGAATTTGCACAAGGCAGGACAAACAAGTAACAAAAAAAGATGATGTACAGTACTGGCCAGAATTATCCCAAATTTTAAACGCATTCAACCTGTTGCGTTTTCATTGAGAGCGCATTGCCGTTGGCGTTGACAGCGCGTTGTCGTTGGCGTTGACCACGCGTTGTCGTTGGCATTGAAAATGTTCACCTCGTTAGAAATTGTTTATTAAGAATTCAACGCAAAGTGTTGTATGAACAGTTTGTACAATAATTAAATAAATAGGGGTTAACAGTTTCTAAATAAACAGCCACTTACATAATTGTAATAAAGAAATAAGGTGATTAAGTGAAGATTGGAGACGAGTTGAAGATAGCCTAGCTAGGCCCAGGTCTATTTTGATTGTGATGACATTGAAAAGGAATACGCCACAAGCTTGACAGGTGTTCGACGTACAGTAAATGTGGATAATCCACTCAATTAACAGAAAAAAAAACAAAAAAAAAAACAGAAAGATGTTGGTCAGTGGTCGTAATCAAAGCGGAGGCTACACCCCTAAACTGGCCGTCATCAACTAGATTAGCCGAGTGTCAACCAATTAGATTAATTTCACACGCTTGAGTTGCGATGATGTCAGATCGCCCAAAGCTACAGTAGCTGCACAGCAAGCACATGTTTACAACTACATTACTGCAATTACTGCTCGAGTCAGACACATGCGCACACAACGGTAACCACAAAAACAGTTTGTTTCAACAACACACATGAAAATTCTCTCATGCTCCGTCACTGCAACGTTATCTAGGCCTAGGCTAGCCTAGTTGACCTAGTACTGTATGTTTTTTGGCTTTCGTGTTTTGTTTCAAGCTAGATTTGAATGTTTTTACTTAGGTTTATTTTATGTGTTAAACCATCTATATTAAGCGTAGTGAGGGCACTGAGGCCAAGGCTGCAAAAGGGCAGGCAAGTGGTGGCCATCGTCGTGCTTCATTTTCAGGGGCACCAAGGCCAACTGGGAGAGGGCACCGTCGGCGGTGGCCGCGGTAAAATTTGGGGCCTGATGTAAGGATGGCCCATTAAAGTTGTCTTTAAAAAAGAAGAAGTAAAGATTATTTCCAAAGTGGTCCTACAAAAACCAATTGAAAAACATGAATGTACCGTACAACACTAAAAATGGTAACAATTTAAATATGCCTATGAAAAGCACTAAAAAAGCAGACAAAAGGCATAAAACAATTTATGTCCTATAAGTATTTACAAAATGCTATAAACATTAAAATGGGGGAAAATAATGTAGCTACTGTAGCTAAGTATGTGTCAAATTGGCTCTTTAGTTGCCTATAATTTTAAAAGAGACGTATTGACCACCGAAATCACGAATGCGTTTTTTATAATCTGCTTTCTTGAGTGATTCTTTATTTTAAAGGAAGATCCTTTTCCAGTAGGTAGGCCTAACTCATTCAAACTGTTCTCAAGTTTTTCGTCAAACATGCTTTCTGTTGTACAACATATCAAAAGAGGCTTTTCATACAGAGCCTGGTTTTGCAGTCTTTGACAAGTAAGGCCATGGCAATGAAAGTAACATCAGCTGGTCAGTGGCAGCTTAAGCAAAATTTTACTATAACTCATTGAGAGTCAGCAGCCTCATTAATAAATATAGACATAAAAAACATTTAAATACTTGTAATACAGTAAATACAGGTAGCATAAATACTGCCTATCATAATTCAAAAATTCAAACTTGCTCTTAGATAATTTAAAATAAAATTCAGTTTTATGTAAATAGAGATAGAAAATTATTGAATAGAAACAAAGATAATCAATACACAGTAATGGAAGATAGAGCAGTTTGCTATAATATAGTGGAACGTCCATATGAGCAATTTTCCTCCATCGGCATGGTTTCGCGGATACCTTAGCAGCAATCATGGTGTGTCGATGTCCTGCCTTCGCAGTGTTTGCGACAAGTGACCAGATGTGATGAAATAAAATGGGCAGCCGCATACAGTAGGTTACACAAATTTTTTGAAATAATGAAAATTTTGGCGGTAGTTTTTTGGGCATGCGGGCGGTGCTCGCATATGTACAACTTTCATTTCCAATATCCACTTTTAAAGCTAACGCTCATCTGTACTTTTTAAGGAAACATTGTTTTAAACGAAAGTGATTTGTGCTACAATAGGCCTATACACAAATTTTAAATAAAATAATAATAATTATTTCTTAAATGAATTATTAAATAAATAATTTAACTAACATATCAGGCTTTAGGCTTCGTGTACTGTAACAGGGTATTTATTACCAGATGTGATCAAACAGGTTTAATAAACATGCAATGTGCCGTTAACGTGTAATTACTGTAGTTTTTACAGTAAATCTAAAAATGAAATTTTTTAACTGAATTTTAAATTAAAACAATTTTAACCTATTTTAGTAGAAACCCTCATTTACGTACTCCGATTAAACGAATTCCCGATTTTACGAACGTAATATAAAGGTGACGACGTCATAAAAATTGAAGCGAAAGATTAAATAAAAAAAAATCTGCTCGAATTGTAACTGTTATTAGCATGCATACAACACAACACACCATACTATACAGTACTATGTAATTCCCAAGTGTTTTTTATGGCTTCACACATGTGCATGCGACAAAATTTTACTTCTCTTTCAAACATCGTTTTCAGCTTTAAAAATCAACATAGTGCTTGATTGTTTTATTGAATGATCAATATATAATAAACAAGTATCTATGGAAGTTGTGTTTGGAGTAAAATCCACAATCTAGGTATTTAAGAAGGTAAAAATGTCCAATAAAAACAAATTTGTGTAGGGCCTAGAGTGTTTTTACATCACATCTGTGCATTGTCAATATTTAAACCATGGTTTTAATTCTGTACATTTACAGTATGTACTATTTTTAATATATTTGTTTTAAACTTGTCCTGTGCCTATGGAAAGTAAAATTCTAAAGCACCAATAAAAATTATCTCTTAATCTTCTTTTTATCCTATTACAGTCGGTGTTTATTCAGTATGGGAGTTGAAGTTAATACTCTTAAAGCTGGAGACGGTAAGATCAAAAAATTATTGTTGAGAAGGGTTTTTTTGTGGGGAGGGGAAATTTATTCGAGGGAGGTGTTTACCCCATAATTTCACTGAAAATGCAGAACTACAACACATTACTGTCAAAAGGTGATCATAAAGACTGAATGATCACTACAATTCAATCTAATATTTATTTGTTACAGAAGCCATCAATGGGCTATTATCCGCCATACAAAAAACATAACACTATCGATTATCAACAATTGCTACAGTATAGCCAATAAAAATATTCAAAATAAGAATTAAACAATAAATCAATGTGTTTTTATAGAAATACAAGGTTTTAATAGAAATATTGAAACTTCTACAGGAGCAGAAATAGAATGTGTTGAGAATGATGTTTCTTTCATTAGATTTGTTTGTAAACAGTCATTTATGAGTGGGGGGGGGCATTTATTGGAGGAAAAAAATAAACGCTGCAGTATTTATAAGAGGGAGATGTTTAGGCCAGCGTTCGATTTCCAGCATTTTTGGTGTTTAGCAAAAAAGTGCATAGCTACAGTAAACTGCACTTAATGCTTAATAGAATATCAGAAGACTCAAATGAATACTTAAAATCTTACTTGAAATTGAATCATAAAACGTTAAGTGCAGTGCCGACGGGGGCCTAAGCCGCGCATCAGACATGTCAAATCACCCACCGTCATTCATTAAAAAAAAACAAAAAAAAACAATTAAGTTAACCTACACCAAGCCAACAGCTGGAAATGGCACTCTGAGAGTCTGAGAGTGCCATTTTTGGCCATCCAGAGGTCCTAATTTTTAAAAATAATCTCATATGTTTTTTATATATTCATTATTATTTGTGGATTTCACAATTCTTGTGTACATTGTATAATTTAATTTTACACCTTTTCTACTTAATTTACTTCACATTGATTACTTTTTTGTCGGTCTTCAAGATGAATTTCTATAACAGGCAATATTGTTAATGATGAACAAATAAAACATTTAGTATTTGGTATGTTTCTATAATTCGTTCCCAGTATTTTCCATCATTAATATATATACTTTGATTCACAGGGGTAAATTTTCCAAAGAATGGTCAGAAAGTCACTGTGCATTATGTAGGTAAGTTTTTTAACAAAATTTTGTGCAAATAAAATCTCATCAAGGTCTTAGCATGCTAATGAGGTTGGTCAAGCATGTCAGTCTTAAGGCCATCCCAGGGGCGAATTTGGGGAGAGGGGCGACCCGTCCACGACTACCCCCACCCCCTTTTTTGGAAGCAAAAAAAAAAAGAAAAAAGAAAGAAAAAGAAAAAAATGATAGCCCAGAACACCTCAAATGTTATTTTCGGGTGTCTAGAACACTAGGACAATGTAGTATCGATTGGCCCAACTTTCGGGGGGCCCCCCCCCCCCCCCCTTTTTGGACATCTCTTTATCCACCCCTGCATTCCATCTGTCAGTCAATTAACAATTAACAATCAACATCTTTAAAATTCAGATGTATTTTTTTTTTTTGCTATTCACAGTATAATACTAGCTCTTATTTTAGGTCCAAACCACTTTGCAACATCGTGTGGATCCACACGTTTGAGTTTAGACATTAGATAATTGTATTGGCCTATATTTGCAACAATAACTATAAAAAGCTAAAAAGCAAATGTTCATATAGAAAATAAAATAAATAAGAGAAGTTTTTACACTAGGATGGTTCAGTAATGATTTATACGATAAAATATTTTGACAAATCAATTCAAATGATGTCATAATCATGGAAAAACGATAAAATCGTAGTAGTATTAAATCGTTTCATTTTTCACAACACCTCACAAATTTCTTTTATTAAATCACAAATAGATTGTATCTACAGTAGGTCCCTGCTTCTCAAACTTTTTTAGATGATGACCCAGTTTCAGACTCCATTTCTTTGGCTACCGAAGGCATAGATACCCTGTCGTATTTCTACGGTCAACCTCGGCTATGTCGTATATAAAGCGGCTGTGATGTGATAAATAGTTTCAATTTTTATTTACTTGACAAAGTACATGAAGCATTTGTTTTCTTTGATCACATGTGGAATGCTCCATTTTATATTATGGAGAATATTTACTACACTCGTAATTTTGAAATGTTTAAGGTAAAACAATAAAAACAGTGACATATTTTTGACTTATGCACAGTCAACTTGGATGAGGTTGACTTAAAAAATAATAAGAGCGTAATTAAAAATTAAGCTTGTACGTAACCACTCCCTCGCAAAACAGCTGATGAAATCAACTCATTAAGACATTGAAATCTAAGAGGTCAAAGTTCTGAAGAGACACTTATTTTATGTTTGTACCAGATCTTTTGAACACAAAGCCAACTAGAAAACTCTTTGCTAGTACCGTATTAGAGAGTGAAATAAGTATCTTGTCAATATTTTTATTTCCACCAGGCACTTTAACTAATGGAAACAAGTTTGATTCTTCACGTGATCGGGGAAAGCCATTTCAATTTACAATTGGCAAAGGTCAGGTGATCAGAGGCTGGGACGAAGGTGTTGCTCAGGTATGTGATCAAAAAGTAACTTGCATCATTGAAATAATAATAATAATAATAATAATAATAATAATAATAATAATAATATCAATAATATCAATAATATCAATAATATCATCTTTATTTACACACGGAAGCTTGTATCACCCAACTGGTGTTTTTCAACAAGGCTGTGATGCCATTATAACAATATAGAAAACGATAAAAGGAAAAGAATACAGATACTGTAAATCACACAATTTACAAAATACAATGGTTCAAAGAACATGCACCAGTAAACACTTGTCAATTTTAGTTTACAAAAGCTTTTTAAAGGTTCTAATATTTGGTGCAGTTCTTACATCATCTGTAAGATTGTTCCATAACTTAGCACCATGGTGACTGAAACTTTTCTCCTTATAGGTAGTGTTGGGTTTTTTACCTCAAGAACATCACTGGATCGTGTATTATACATTTTTTCTTTGAGTGCAAAGTGCTTAGTCAGATAAGATGGTGCTAGATTATGGAAAGTCTTGTACATAGTGACAGCTTCACGATGATACAATTTAGTTTCAAGATTTTCCCATTTTAAGTTCTGCAGGGCTTGTGTACTTGACTCACCTCTCTTCTTTCTTAAAATTATTTTTGCAGCTCTGTTTTGTAGAACTTGTAATTTATATTTTATTAAACTATATTTGTGGAAAAAGGCTAAAGTGACAATGGCTCTAAAGGATGCATGTGGCGATAAAATGTTGAATCGCGCCTACATTAGATCCATTATATTATATATGTAGTGAGATTGAATTCTAAATGAAATGTCGAGTATTACTATATTTAGTTTAATGTTTAATTATGATTTCAATATTTTCAGATGAGTAAAGGACAAACAGCAATATTGACATGTTCTCCAGATTATGCCTATGGTTCCAGAGGCTTTAGCGGAGTATATCCTTTAATATTTTTAAAAGAGAGAAAATTATTTATAATACAAAGTTCTTTCAACCTGATAATTTTCAGATTCAAGTAGAAGTATAGAGATTTATACAGTGCCTTTTGCCAAGGGATACAAGGCGCTGGCAAGAACACAACCTAAATTCACAGTTCGAACTTCAGGTTTGCGAGACTGAAACACAACCGCTGCTCTAACTGCTCCCACTAAACTAGATCTGTTATATGAGAACTTGATTTAAACAGCTTAATTATTTAGGGAAACAAATGGCGAAGACTAAAAAAAATCCCACAGCACACACATTCCAGTTGGTCATGTGACGTATAGTGTGCGTAAATTATAAACATGCAGCACAATTGACACTCGGTAATAGGAAAACATGTGGCTTCTTTTGAGTATTTCTGCTGTAAAGCACATATTTAATGTTAAATGATGTTGGTACGAATGCCAGTAAATTATACCAAACTGATTGGAAATCAACTATGCTCAGAAAGGTACTTGCTCTAAAACATTGAGATTTTTCAAGAAATACTAGGTTCAGGCCCCTGCATATAGTAGCGTCTCCTTGCATTTATTTCTCACATTAATGGTGGCCATCATCACCTTCCTTTACTTCAAACTTGATTGCACTATAAGTTTCCATAGCTGTACCCACTGTATGTCATGTGACCGGCTGTAAACAAATCACAGAATTTGTCTATTGAATACCGCACATATTATAAATTACAAACTTGTGGTATACTTAATATTACCAGTAGTACGTTTTTCAAGAAATACTTTAGCTCAGGCCCCTGCATATCGTTCAGGTACGCCCGGGAGTCTTTAATCTGCAAACAGCGATTTTGACAGACTGAGATTTCTAGGCTAGTTTAAGGTTTACGAAAGATCACATAAATTCCAAAGCATACAAAGCACAGAGAATGCTAGAATAAAAGTAGATACACTAATTTGTACAATCGTAGTGTCTCTCCTTGCATTTATTTCTCACATTAATGGTGGGCAATATTACCTTTCTATACTTCAAACCTGATTGCACTATAAGTTTCCATAGTTCTACCCACTGTATGTCACACGTGACCAGCAGTAAACGATTCGCAGAATTTGTCTATTGAATACCACACAGATTATAGATTTACATATATAGAGCAGCTTTGCTCAGTCGGTTAATCTGGTGGTAGCTGCTGTGCGTGCGCTGAACACTGTAGAGATCTCTAGGTTCCCGGTTCAATTCCCATCGCTGCCTCTCCTTGTGTTTCAACTAGAGGGCTGAAATACCAGTTGCAATAGTGCACAGTCTTTCGGATGAGACGTTTGAGCCGTTGGTCTTGTGTGCATTATGACCCATGTGCACGTTAAAGAACGCAGTACACTCTTCAGATAAGAGTAGGGGTTTGTCTCCCTGTGTACTGTCCAATCACCACCAGAAGGACCCCACTGGAAATAAGTTTTCTTCTAGATTTTCGTGGGCTATCCTTGGTGTTTACACCGAGTGAATCCAATAACTTAGAAACTTGTGGTATAATATTACCAGTAGTGCAGTATCAAAGCATACAGGAAATTGGTCAATTGTAAGGAAATAATTTTTAAGTAAATTGTAAAGATTTTTTTTTTACAAGCAGATAATCTCAAGTATTTTAATTGTTGAGTTTTTAACACGTTATATTTTCATTGCGGATTTTTTGGGCTCAGTACGGACTCTAAATGTATGCATTTTCTTTTAGTTTTAAGGCGTATGCGGATTTTATAAGTCCGCAATGACGATATAACGTGTTTTTTACTTTCAAAAACTTTTACTTTTAAATGTTTTTTATACCTTTCAATGTTAGTCCATGGTTTCAACCTATACAGTAGAATTGAACTGAATATGTAGAATGTTTTATTGTCAACACCTTAGTTTGGTGGTCTGCAATGTACACTCCAATTCGAGACCCCTTTAATTCCAAGACCCTTCTGATTTGAGACCACTTTTTAAAAAACCAAATAATAATCTTCAGTCTTCTAACACAACGCTATCCCTCTAACTGGAGATGCAACCACATGATCGCCCCAAATTTCAGGTCTCAAAGATGGTCTTGAATTAGAGGCGAAATAAACTACTAGAGCAGCCACTCCATAGAGGGCATACCTCTACCCTGTGCCAGAATAGGGAACAATATGCAGGCTGTTGTGGGCGATTTCATTATTTTCTTTTATTCGATGGTAAACAAAATATCGAATTTGTGTGACCTTGACCCTTTACCTTTTACCTTTTCTTCCCAAAGTCCAATTATTTTATTATATCTTATTATTTATCATTCCTGTATATTTTATGATGATCCGTTCTTCAGTTTTTCTGTAATCTTGCTAATAAAAATTATAATTCGTTATACATTACCATCATTATATGCTTTACTTTTCAGTGGTACTTTGTATTCCTTAACTTTTCACACGATTCCTCCAAATTCAACACTTATTTTTGAAGTAGAACTCATCAATATCGAATAAGCTGTAAATTATTACTACATGAAGCTGGATTTTGATAACTGCATGCATACACAAAATAATAGAATGCCATCCTGGTTACTATGTACGTTGTTGCTTTAGTAAAAAAGAAAATATTGCTGATGAAACTATTGATTTTATCATGATTTATTTTTACCATCCGGAGCTAAATTTTATTTGATAAGTTTATAAAATACTTAATAGTCAATAGAATACCATCTTGGTTATCAATTACTGTTGATTAATACTCTAAAAATATTGAAATCGAATATTTTTCATACATAATGATATTATTACCATCTGGTGATATATTTTTCTATGTTAGTTCATACATACCAGAAGTCATAGCATGCCATCGTGTTATCAGTTAGATTGTATTTTGCATACAATTTTGTCTATACTAACAAGGTTTATGTGATATGGCCATAATGTAATATTAACATTATCATGCACATACAGTAAATTGAAACATAAATTTATCACATAAATGTTGATAGTGTGGACTTGAACTTGTGCTTTTTAAAGTGTTATTATCTGTCGCTGATTTTTGTTTTATAATTTCATATAAATCAATAGAATGTCAAGTAGGTTGTTGCTTTAGTAATAAAAGAAAATAAATTAATGAAAAGTTTGAGAATTTTATTATTGATTTCATAGTCTTGTGTTGTTACATACACTGTATTTTACTCGGTATTTAAAGGCATTATCCACAAAAATATAATATGATATTTGCATCCCCATATCAGAAATATGACAAACACATTGTGGCGCTTATCAACTAATACACCTGCTAGATAATAAAAATATAGTAAAATACCTTTTTAAAGATAATTAAACTGATAGACTGTATCATCACATCAGCTGTAGGAACTCTGCACAAGTCTACAATCGGAAACAGGAAGATAGCCGACCACGTTATAAGTAAACACAAAAACTCGGCAGTTTTTTTGTTTTGTTTTTGTTTTTTTTTGTTTCTCCAGATAATCGGAATGATTAATTCCACAATACTTACTAACAGATTGTGGCAAAATGTCGCTTCTAAAATTGACATTAAAATTCTAACCAAAGAACAACAATAATTATACAATGTAGCCTAGCCGGTTAACAACAATATGTTCTGTATAACGTCCGACAAGAACATCCATTTTAGAATTTGTTGTCGATCCTAATAAACTTTCAGATGTCGATGCTTTTTATAAAACTCTAAACTGAGCAATAGAAAGCTTTTTTATTTTCGAAACCATCGAATGCCTATCTCAAAGGAAAACCTTGGATTAGGACATAAATATTCCTAAACAGACGTTTTAATAGAAATTACATCAGTTGAAAAGAAGTTTAGAAATATGATCAAATAGAGTATTAAGGATGATAAACAGGCATTTTTTTTTAAAGAATAAATAAACTGAAAGGCAGCAACCCGGTGGTTAAAATATATTAAAATAATGAATACCTAATGCAGAAAGTATAGAAATTAACATTAACGACTTTTGTGTATCTGGTGGTATTCCCACTTAAAAATTCACACTTGCAGGTGTGGTACCAGGAGTTGCTTGACGGGGTTCTATGTCCACGACAATGAGCCTATATCATCATTCGAGGGCATGCGTGATCAGCGCCGCTCCAAAAAAAAAAAAAAAAAAAAGAAAAGAAAGTGTGCACCAGAAGAATGCATCTCCCGTAAACTTATGATGGGTTTTAATTTTCTAAATGCTTATTTAATTGATTTTAGAATCTATTAATACCGTAAAAACTCGAATTGAAGCCATGGGCTCTTTTTTTTTTTCAAACTTTGGATGTGCTTCTTATCGAGTTGGCTTCTTTTTCGAGACTAATTTTGCAAAGTAATTTCAAAATGAATGCTGTAAATTTTGTGATTTTGTACTATGAAACAATATATTCTGTCTCTTATACACATCTAGATGTGTATAAGAGACAGGTTTGGTGGTCTGCAATGTACACTCCAATTCGAGACCCCTTTAATTCCAAGACCCTTCTGATTTGAGACCACTTTTTAAAAAACCAAATAATAATCTTCAGTCTTCTAACACAACGCTATCCCTCTAACTGGAGATGCAACCACATGATCGCCCCAAATTTCAGGTCTCAAAGATGGTCTGAATTAGAGGGCGAAATAAACTACTAGAGCAGCCACTCCATAGTGTGCATACCTCTACCCTGTGCCAGAATAGGGAACAATATGCAGGCTGTTGTGGGCGATTTCATTATTTCTTTGTATTCGATGGTAAAAAAAATATCGAATTTGTGTGACCTTTACCTTTTCTTCCCAAAGTCCAATCATTTCATTATATCTTATTATTTATCATTCCTGTATATTTTATGAAGATTCGTTCTTCAGTTTTTCTGTAATCTTGCTATTAAAAATTATAATTCGTTATACATTACCATCATTATATGCTTTACTTTTCAGTGGTACTTTGTATTCCTTAACTTTTCACACGATTCCTCCAAATTCAACACTTATTTTTGAAGTAGAACTCATCAATATCGAATAAGCTGTAAATTATTACTACATGAAGCTGGATTTTGATAACTGCATGCATACACAAAATAATAGAATGCCATCCTGGTTACTATGTACGTTGTTGCTTTAGTAAAAAAGAAAATTTGTATGCAATCAATCACAATCGCTTTCGTTACGGACGGTATTGATATTTGATTGTTTTCACATTCAGTGTTGCCTCTTCAAGTCGTACATGTACTGTGCTTCTTTGTGGGTTGATTTTCGTAAGAACACTTTGAGATCACTCAGCATATGTTATACTATCGCTTTCCGTAAACATTTAAGACTTCTTCCTTAAATGTAGTGCCAGTATGTTTGTTTCTAATGGCGTTCCATCATTCTCTATGAATACCTCCGCAAATCAGTGTATAGCTTTATGAAGCGTAGGCCTATGTTGATAAGCAATTATTCTCTAGTCAAATGTGTGTGTGACTTTATGCTTCGCGAATCTAAGATGTACGTACGTTCGATGGAGAGAGCTCCTCTATGATTAATCGTGTTTTTATTCATTTATTTATGCATTAAAAAAAATTTTTTTTTCTTGATTTTCCCATTTTGTTTGAACCATAGAGCTATTAAACAATTAATTTAAATTATTCTTAATATATCTCTATGGTTTGAACCTATCTGGTCTTTACGTCTGAAATAAAGGATTGAATTGAATTGAATTGCTCATCACACAAAAAACATAACATACCGTACTCAGGGAATTTAATGAAGTACACCACAGCATATTATTAAAATATTCACAAAGGTAGTGTAAAATATCGGATCACATTACCGGTATCTAATTCCTGTTTGTAATCATTGTACACACATACAGTTAATTTTCGTATTTTCCCCCCTACCAATGTTTTAATTGTAGACATTGTTTAGATAGTGTGTCGTGATTCTTCATAGAATCCAAGCTATACAGCTGAAGCAACATTGATTACTAAAATTATCCTTACACCACTTTAAAATCTTATTAATTTCCTTTCTCTTTCTACACGTTTCTGTGATATAACCAGTTACATCACATGTCCTCGGCAAGTTTACAGGTTACATACATCTTCAGTCACTAGAATAAAGAAAACAACAAATGTTATAAGGCGCATTCATTTAAATGCCCCCTCTTACTTACTTTCAACATTTAATTTTATCTACAATTGTCAATAACATTTATAACGCATGCTAAGTGTGTCAAAGATTAAAACATTTAAATCATTCTAGCATGCAAAGTCACTTGTTTTAAAACTTATAAGACATTTAAAATATTCGAGTTTGATTATAAGGTCTATGAGATGAAATAAAATATTAGTTGTAAGATGTATTTTTATATTGGAGTCCGAATATTAAGCATATGGAGCTAATGTAATAGATTATCAGAGTCCGATTTTTACCGCCATCAGGAATATATTGACACAAATTTGGTTACGGCATTCCTCTTTTTTATGTTCAGCAAATGAAACTGTTGAATACGATGGCTCGAGCATTTTATTTAATGATCACACAGCCGTATTTTAACCGATTTTCTTAAAGACAACGATTTTTTTGTTGATAATTTTTTAATTAATCAAGACGTAAATTACACTTACTCTAGAGCCAATCATAGGCCTACATTTTATATTGACCATGTGATTGCGAATGAATTCCCATTCAGTATGACTGACAAATGCAAAATGTTACCATGCTTCCCAGATAAACACAAGTGATCAGCTATTCTGACTAAATTTCAAGTTCCATTTGGTTCTGTTTATGAGTGTGACCAGGATGAGTCGCCTATGGACGCTTCAAGGTACCCTAAGTGTGACTGGGACTCGGAAGTTTTTCGTGAGCAATATTATAAATATCTGGGTGGTAAAATTGCTGATTTTAATTAGGTCAAACTCGATGACGTAAATACCGCTCAAGAACTTTGATACCAGTTATCACAAACTTGTTGACACTATTTAGAAAGCCTGTAAATTCCAATCGAACAAAAAGGGGAAAAAATTAGTGGAATTTTATTTACTTATTTATTTGGACATACACATTTCAAACAGACGCATCAGTGTTAAGAACAAAGATGCGTCCTATAATCTTAACAAAAGCAAAACCAAAACATCAACAACATTATAGAAGTATTCAACAAAAAGGTAACTTAACACTATAAAATACTTATGCCAAAACAAAATTACTGTAGGCCTACTGGCTACAAAATTATACTTATATCTATAGTAGCATCTACATCATAAATCTTTTTTTTTTTTTTACATCTACTGTACCCATTTCCACTGTAATTTCTTTCTTTACACCCTCATATCATATAGCAATATAGAAACTACAATCGTTGAAATGAACAACTTAAAAAATAAAATAAATTAAGATAAGCATAGTTACAGTTAGGGTATTGAATTTATAATTTCATTTCGCAGTTTTTATGCCCTTTAAATATACCTTTTGCAGAATCTATCAAAAATATCTTCACACTCACTGTTGATAGGTTCAACATCCCAAATATATTTAAATTTAGTATTTTCATTTGCATTACGGAACTTGTAATACAGTTCATATTTGCCAGTTTGGACTAAATCTTTGTTTAGGTTATACATTTTGTCAATGCGAATGTTATTTAAAGCCGGGCAACTAATATGGTTGATATCCTCATCAGAATTAAGAATACATTATTTGCATTCTTTATTATTATCCGGATTCCATTTTAAAGTTCTAATTGTGTAATAGTAAGGTATTAGATCTCAGTTTGAATTTAATGCAATTCCTTGAAAATCAATTTGTCAATGAGGTAATTTTAAAGTTCAGGATTTAATTTCAGTTGATTCTACTTCTGATATGGAACCTTCGCCTAGTTTTAATTTCTTCACTTTGTTATTATGTTTACCAGTTATGGATACATTTGATTTTTCAAAGTTAAAACTCATTTTCCATTCTTTTTGCAAAATTCCCTGCAAGCTCTAACATACTTTTCATTTCATTTTCATTATCAGCTAAGAGTACAATGTCGTCAGCCCAAATAAACTACCGACCCATGTTTCATTAATTCTTGTACCCAAATTGTTAGACTTTAGAATTTTATTAAATTCATTAAGAAATATATTAAAAAATCAAGACGCAACCTTGTTTCACACCTTGATCAATATATAAAATATCTGTATCAATGGAACCAAAAGAAACCTTACCCTGAACATTTTCATTCATAATATCTATAATTCTCCATATCTTGCCCATAATACCCGAATTCCAAACCGTTTTCATCATACCATCTCTCCATACACTAAATGCATTTCGGAAGCCCAGGAAGGGAATGTATGCATTCCTTGTTGTAGACAAGTAGCTATACTCTTAAGGACAATATGTCTTTTGAAGGTGTTATAAATAAGAAATTTTGACACCTTTTGAAGGTGTTATAAATAAGAAATTTTAAAACTTTAATAACTTTTCGCAGAAAAAAAAATATTTTGGAATGCTATAAAAAAAAAAGTAGTAAAAAGATGTCCACTAATACAAATATCAATATTGCATCACTCCATGAGTTTTCTAGTGGTAAATTTAATTCTAGGTGTACATCTAATGAGACTGCTGACCTATTTGTTAATAATAACCTCGACTCTCTTTCATCTTCTATTTTTATTTATGTTTTTTATCACAAATGCACTGTTCGACTTATTAAACGCCTTCACTCGGGTTCTGCTCCCGGGCGAGATGATGTAACGGCCAAACATTTAAAGCATGCATATGGAAGTAGGGTTTCATCAATTTCAAAGTATGTATTAGGCATGGTATAATTTGTAAGGCGTTTCAGGAAGGCAATCTTGTACCAATTTTTAAAAAAAGCCAAATTCTGATCCATCTCAACAAGCAAATTATAGGCCTATTACTAATTTTAATACAATCTAAAAAAAATGTGGAACTTTGCTTTCTTGAATCGTGCTACAATGTTGAGTTCTATCCAGAGGTGACGGAACTAGGGGGGCTGTGTTATGGAGAGTAATGTGTGACCGGAAATGGTCTGCAGTCAGTTGGTTGTTACCATGCGCCAGTGATGTTGGAGTATATAGTACAGCAATATGAAACTATTATGTAGGCCTAATGAATGAATTTCGGAGTTTGTCGGGTAGTGAAATGATTATTTCACATTTTAAGTGCTCCCTAAATTCATAAGTGTAAGCTAAATTACGGTGATTAATTTAATTAGCGAAGATATGGAGACAATTATTTCGAATCCCTCTTTCCAAGAGGGGATGCAAATGCTTTGTGAAAATGAGTACGCCGCGGTATTTATTTTCACAAAGAAATACACACAACTGGTTAGCTAACAATTATGTCAATGTTACATGAACACCTGGGAAGGAAGGAGCAATCACGTTGTTACTTAGCAAACGTCTGTATGGGGCAGGGGATGCTGATGTACTGTGTGTAGCGGGGAACGATGAGGCATAAGACTAGGCCTAGGCCTAACTAAGACAGTGGAATTATATGTGATAGAAAGTACACTTTCGGAAGAAAGAAATAAATTAAAATAAAATAAAAAATAACTATAGAATAATCCATTTGCAGATGTACCTTATTTAAGTATTATACAATGCTAACAATGTGGCTCTTGTAGCCCTGGCTTGGGCAAGGCATCCATGTGCAAAACAGTGGTGTTTGTTTATCCATGAAAAAAGCACGCCGGGAAAGTTTGCCTTACCAGGAAAAGGTGACGTATCTAGCTTATGACGTATGTATGCTAACTAAGGTGAGTGTGACGTCACCAAAAAATGAATATTATATCCAAATTTCACGTTCCACTTTTGACCCTAAGTTGTGCTTTGCACTCGCCGCTGAGGAACCCTGCGTCCAGTGCAGTATGGTTTTTGTAACTGGGCGTGGGACCGCTATGGCTAGGAAAACGGTAAATGATGTAATAACTTAATGTAATAATAACGATTTTCCTTTCTACCCATGTTCTGTTGATGCGGAGGGTGTTTTTGATGCTATTCCTCACAGCATCTTATTTTCTAAACTTGCAAACTATGTGTCAAATGATTGGTGGATGTTACTTTATCGGTGGACGTACACCAACCTAAATGGAATAATTCTCTAAGTAAATTGATTTCAGTTAGCAAAGACACACGTTAAGGATGCTTATCCTCTCCATTAATTTTTAATGTTTTAAAGAGATCACTGGTTTAAATAATCTTGAATGTGGCGAAAAACATCTTTGAATGTTTGTTGCTATACTGATGATGTTCTAATAGTAGGCAATAGTATTACAGGGCTTTAAGTTAATTGCATTTGCTAACGAGCACATTACCAAAAGTTTGTCTTAATATGCAATACTCACATTTATGTAAAAAAAAACATTGTAAGAAGTTACTCGGTAAGGGAATCTCAGACAGTATCGATACTCTTTTACATTATTCTGAAAATTTTACTTGAGAGGATTTTTATCTCCTTTTTGATGTCATACAAGTTACTTACTGGTACTTCCTGGGATTCCATTCCACTAATTATTCTGGATAGATCTGGATTGGTGCATGGTTTTTTATGCGATATTTCTTTTTCTTCTGCATTTTTCATGTTCTTCTTGGAGGGGTTTTTGAATTAAATTTGAATATGAATTTGAATTTATATTAATTACTAAAAATAATAGAGGAACTAAATTTTCAAATTGATTGTTTTCGAGAGCTTTGGGCAGATTCAATTATCGGTGAGCATTTAATTTGTTTTTTTAAATATGTTTAAGTATCAACATTGTAATTATTAATAATTCTTTTGTTATTGTCTTATTGCTGTTTTTTATTTTATTCATAATGTACAATTACTATATACATATGTATATAAGTACTATATATATAATATGTGAATATATATTTACTATATATTTATATTATGTAAGTGGTGGGTTTCCCGCTGCTGAATTATTATGTTCCCAACATTATGGAATGCCCTACTTCTTGTGATGAGAACCACATTTGTGAATAAAAATAAGGGGAAAAAAGTTAAATCGTAACTCTCCTTTTATCACACTAAGGTTTTCACACACACCCACACACAAACACACACCCACGCACACACCACGCACACACACTCACCCGAGCACACCCCACCCCCACTCGCGCACACACACAATGTAAATACAGTAGTTTTTTGTTTAATAATTTTTATATACAACGCTACTTTACACCCGTTTCTCAATAGGTATAAGTGCATTCTGCCAATGTCATTATAGCCCCAGTAAATATTACGTTCTGCCGATGCATATACTTTTTTTGTTGACTGATGATTAATTAATGTTCAACGTACAATTGGACATTATTTATGTTATTTTTTGAAAACGACGATTCTTCTTGATTAACAATCAATTGTGACATGTTAAGGAAAAAATCCAAACATAAATCGCCTTACTTTCAGTTCGAGTTGGTATGGTCTTGCATCAAAGACAAAATAAAAACTACTTCATCTATTGTTTCTTAGGGGTTTTATTCACTGTTGGTAAAACACTAACCACTAAACATACAAAACTAATCACTTTCAATGAATTGATTTCAAAACTGTTGAAAGAATAGAAAGTCGATCAGCATGAAAATGTGTTAATTTGTAAAAAAAACCTGCAATTAGGATCCACAAAATGGTGTTTTGAGGCTGTAAAAGAGTAACTGCGGCGTTTATATATGTCACCCTGCTTACCGGCATAAATTGCAGTCCTACGAGTGAGAACGTAAAATGCTGTGTCATAATGGTTTGTGGTTGGCAGTTTTATTCAAATTATCCTATTTATTTAAATAGTTTTACCTGTTTTGCGTATTATTATTGTCATGTTGATAACATCCCAGTAATTTCACATTCATTGTGCTCACTGGATTATCAATGAAACAGTTCTACAGTTATCCTGTTATTACATAGGCTAGTTATATGGAGGTCGTGGGTTCGATTCCTACCCAAATCACTTGCGATTTGGGAACGTACTGAGTATTTGGTACGATAACACGTCAGTTCGGATGGCAAATCATCACTCATATATCCTATAATTGTTATTAAAGTTGTGTTTGTACATCTATTGAACACATACCTAAAAAGAAAATACTTGATACTAATCTAAGTTTACCAAATTTACTTTAAAATCACTACCGCTGTCGAGTATGGACAACTCCCAAAAAGTAAAGTTCTTAAAATAATGTATCCCAGGTATGGAAAATTCTAATCCTTAGTATAAAAATGTACCACTTACTACATAATGAAAAGTTTACACATTGTTCTAAAGATAACATATGTACAGTAATAATTTTAAATTACCACAACCTTTAGTAAATGTGTCTTATAGAAAACAGTAAGCAGTAGTAAACTATATTAAGCAATTATATATTTTTTTACTAAATCAAAACGTATTTTTGTTTATTAACAGAGCCAATTTTATCACGACACTTAAGATTCTACTGAAAATAATATACTAACTAAATACATTTGGTTGTTCATTACCACAGCATAATTTATCATGAAACTTAAAATTTCTACTAAAACTAATATAATAACTAAACACATTTGGTTATCTAAATACATAACAAACATTATGATAAAACTTAATATTTCTACTGAAGTTTATATACTAACTAAACACTTGGTTGTTCATCAACATAGCAAACGTTATTATAAAACTTCAAATTTCTACTGAAATTAACATACTAACTACACTTTGCTATTTATTAATAAAAGATGTATTTTTCTATGAAACATACATAAAATTGACTTTCTCATTTGAAAGTAAAATAACTTCGTCAATATCAACATAGAAATTGAATTATGGTAGGAATGTTACTAGTGAAAGGAGTATTTTGTAGGCGTCTTACATTATCTTCCCGACCCGATATTATGTAAGATTTTATATTTTGTGATTTACATATATAGTACTTTGTTGTGACAAAATGTGGTCTATATACAAGTATTACATTTTCTTTACATTAACTCATTATTTTTCTTTTTGCAAGTTTTTCCCAATGCATTACGATAGGAATGTGACTGCTATCCGGTGTAGTAGGAGTCTTAAATCACATTATCACATTTCCAACTGATAATGGTGTAGCATTGTTTTGGTGATGTACATTCATATACTTTGTTGTGATAAAATTTGGTCCATGTGCTAGATGGGTTAAAATTACAAAGATTGTGATTTTGCAAGGTTTTCTTATGATCAGCACCGACCCCAGGAATCATCCTAAATACTTGTGTTAATTACCTTGATTGCCTAACAAACATGGAGGGTTAAAACCTCTAGGCAATGATAATAGCGTGAAATCTTCTGTTTTGAGTTAAGATCGATTATTCATTGACCCGAGATATCTCGTGGAAATGGATTTATTAATTAGATATTAATTCACGGATGTATGCTGGGGATTAGATGTTTAGGCTTATTCACATTGTATTCATGTTTTTGCTCTCTAGACTATGAAATATCTTTTACCTGTAACCTAGACTGAGTATTCAAGCAATTTACTTAATTCCTGCAGTCCAAGCATATTTAAGTTAGATTTGAAATCAGCCAAAGAAGTAGTATCATCCGTTAATATGGCATTTCTTTCCAAGTCCAGTATCAGGGACCATTTATCATTGTACTGACGATTAATTCGATAACGGCGATTATAACTCTGTGCAATCAACATAACATCATCACTAATGAGTTTCATTCCGAAAGCAATAACAGATTGCCTAAATTTTGTAAAGTGAGTGATTATTATATTTTTAGGTGGTGGGCAATTGGGGATGTATTTCTTCAAATGCAAAGCGTCCGTTAGTTTTATGGTCTCTAATATGATGCTTACGTCCCCTTCCTCTAGAACTGAACGTCTCATTAATTCATTTAACAGTGGCTTTGTAGATACAGCTTTGTCTAATACATTGACGTCCTTAATGTGATCTTTGAGGGCTACTTTCCATATGTTTATGTCTTCACCGCTGTTCTTTGAGATGTCTTCTATCATTCTTGTAAACCTTGGCTCTCTTACTGAAAAACATGAAAAAAAAGCACTTTCTTATTTTAATCACTCATATTTTTCCTAAATAGCCCTACTGCAAAGACAGTTATAGCTAAACAAAAATTTATAGACTTTTTGCACCGAGTTTATTACAAATTGTTCAATTTTTAATCCATTTCCTACAATTAATCATTTAGATTAAAAAGAGAACTTATTGTATATAATATTCATTATAATCAATATTTTTAACAATTTTGGACTAACGAAATACATTGTATTCACCAATATTCACTGTAATCTTCATTATATTTGTGTAGAATAAATTGAAAACTAAATTATGAACCAAGGTTAAACAGCAAATTTATTTTATCTGTAAGATCATATAATGTTGGAATGGATACCTTCTTTCGATTCTACCAGATCATGATCCAATCACTACTGTTTTCTAGTATAATGGTTTATTGATTAAACAAAAGAAAGATAGAATATGCAAAATAATATGTTACGAAACTATTAGGCTTTATCAATGCGGATCCAGGAATTCAAAAATGAGAGTCTTTCTCAGCTCCAACCATGGTTTGGCTGAGGTGGTCTAGACTGCCGTCTGTAACAAATATTTATAATTACGACAACTCTAGATGACTCTCAGACCTAAATATGATTATAGTATTCCATTTTTCATATTAACAAAAATTGAGAGGGGGGGGGGCGGCTCGCCTTTGAATCCACACACCTGATAATGTTAAGGATATGAAGGGTATATGTGAAGAAGCTATAATGAATAAACTCAAAGTGGCTCCAAAGGATTTAACACATCCTTTATATGCTTATATAATGTTAGCAGAACAGGAGAATTGTGCCAACACTTAATTCTAACAGCCAAATACAGGAACTGATTCTTACCTAGTCCAACAAGACTTCAATATAAATTTTTATAGATATCTTGTTTTTTTTTACTAGAATATTAGATTACTTGATAATGAACTTGTAAATATTTTTTTCCTATTTAAATGTAGGCCTATAATGTTCTTATTAATCAAATAAGAAATAAGTTGATAATAATAATTAAATAAATTTGACTTTTTGTATAAAAATTTTAACCTTTTTTAATAACATCGGTAATGTTTTCTTTTCTTTTGTTGATTCTTTGTTTGTATACTTAGTGTATAGTTTTTGTTGTTGTGCAGTAACTTGTTTTTAGCTGAATGTATCACTCGGAAACAGAATATCATGTGTGGATGTATTCGACGATGAATAAAGAATCTGAACATAAATCTGATTAGGGCGGTCATATAACTAATGAATATTGTACGTTAAACAAGAAATAAAGATGGTACCTTGCTCTCCAGATGAAAATTCTAAAAATAAATATATATACAAAATATGCTTCAAATTTATTATCATCGTCATCGTTATCGTCATTGTCATCTTCATTATTGTTATTGCTACTATTATCTCCGCGAGAAGATATATGTTTTCAGTCGTGTAAGTTTGTGTGTGTTTGTCACATTGTTGTGTTTTTTGTGTTCATATTATCTCAAAAACGGCTGCACAGACATAAATGATAATAACAGGGAGTTTTGGTGACGGTCCGGAGAGTGGATGTGAGGACAATTGAAGGGATTTAGGAGCAAAATTTCTATTTCAGATATTTCAAAAAAGTGTCAACTTATCTGAGTGAAAGTTTCGTAAAATTTTAACCAAGTTACAAGGAAGAACTTATTTGGTTTTGGTGATAATTCCAAATTCAGCTGTGAATTTGAGGGTCATTCAAAATTCTAAGGTCCAGACCTAAATATCTCCTGAAAGTAATCAATTCCTCTAAATGAAATTCTACACAGAATAGTTTGTTTCAATGAAGAATGTTTAAATATTATTTACCATCAGGAAGAGGGTATGAGGACCATTCAAAGGAAAACGTCCCAGACCAGATATTTCAACTAATCAAAATGAAATTTACATGAAAGTTTAATCAAGTTACAAGGAAGACATTATGAAGTGATGTCGACGATCCAAATTCGGGTGTGCATTTGAGGGCGATTAAGTTCCAGACGTAAATGTCTCGAAAATGAATCAAAACGACGCTTTCCAAAATAGTTGGTCATGTTTTAATGAAGAAGTTTTAAATTTTGTTTCACGATTCGAAGTAGGGTGTGGATATGAGGACCATTTAAAAAATAGGTTTACCATATACCGTATTCAGATAACAATAGCTATGTGATGAATATTCAAATTAGTGCAATTACAGTTAATGTGTTTAGAGTTTTATATGTAGTAACTTCAGTTTTTGGGAACTGATTGGGAATGTTTTTAATGCATCTTTATATTTAAACAAATTACGCTAAGAACCATTGACTATTTGCATAATATTTTTATTTCAACCCTAATGCTAGGAATGTATTTGTTTTGTCAACTAAAAAAGTAAAATGTTCCCGTCTGAAAGGAATTGGCAGGTGTATTACTAATACAATGAAAGGCTAAGGCATTTACAGTTACCCGGTTGGTCTTTTTTTTTTTAAGTATGTGGTGGTTGAAAAGTAAGTGGGTGTCACATTTTTTTCACGACTTTTTTATGGCTTATTTTATAAAAAGGGATTTGGGTTGGGCGGAGATATGCTCTCTACTGAGTGCTGTTGTTCGAAATATTCGAATTAGGTAAAAGCTTAATTAAAGTTCAATTAGATAAACAATTTCTGTATGTATAATTGAGAGTTTGAGTGCGACTTTCTCCCAACTTTAACATATTTTTTTGCTTATAGCTGCTAAATATTAATTTTTAGATGGGACCACATTGAATAATGTACTTTAGAAAGACCTTAAAGAGAATGTAAACAGTCATTAGGTAGAGACAGAAAATAATACATAACTCGCTGCGTCATTGTTTTGCGCATTTGATTAAATCTTCTGCTACTAAATCCACTGCAGCATTTTCTGGAGTGGCATTGGTGGCGTATTTGCGTGATGTCAAGGAGTTGGCCATGCCTTTAAAATACAGTATTTGTTCCGCAGATACCCGCCATCACCCCTCCACTTAAAAAAACAAAATCCTATAAGCTGTCAACCACAATGTGTTTTTTTTTTCCGGATTTTGAGTTCATACTAGCACAGAAAATAGGCCTACTGGTTAGCTTATATAAGATTTGGATTATTCATAAAAGTGAGTGTAATGTCTGGTTTTCATCACGCTTTGTTCACGTTGCCTATTCATTCTCAATTACCAACTTCCGCTATAGCTTTAACACTAACAATTAATCAGTTTATATTACAGAATTTTATACTGGGTCCATTTTCTCCCAGTTGTTAAATATTAAATAATGTGGATCTTATTTGCATTTAAGCAGTGTCAAAATCACAAAACATGTAGTCCTACTCGGGTCACCAAGAATAGAGACATCTACTAACCTTGCAATTGGTTTACACTTGTAGTGGGCTGAGATGCTGTTTGTACAGAAGAGGGTAGAAGCACATTTGGATGTGGATGCTGTACTTCCTCATCCTATTATATAATATTTAAAAATTACATAATTATTTTATAGTTAGCATATATTTTATTTAATAACATTATAACAGGTAGAATGTAACGGTTTTAATTCAATTTAATTCATAGTGACATTTATTTTGTTCATTTTCTATTTCATACAAAATAAAATACAAGATTAGAAAAATTCAGGAGAAAAGGAAAAAAGCACAAACGTATGAGACACGAAAAGCAAACAGAAAGAAAGAGGACACGGAAAAAAAAACACAAGAAGAGCTACAGTTAAAGACACCAAACATCATTTTGTAAAAAAAAACTAAAAATAAAAATAAATAAATAAATACACATGAAAGATAATAAGGCATTGTTGGAGAGTATTTAGTCAAAAATAAAGTTTGAATGGTTTTATTAGAGTAAAAAATAGTAGTGTCATCAGCGTACAGCAAAAAGGAAAGGGGGCTTGAGGACAAGTGACTGTTCTTTTCCTTGGACATATGCATGTACGCAATATGTACATGCGTAATTATGTGTACATATGTTTGTATGTGGGAGTGTAGGCCTATGTGCTCGTGCGCATGCGAACATGTGTGTACTTACATTCGTGACAGAATTTTTATTTAATTGTTATGTAGTAGTATTTTAAAATTATTTACTATATTATAAATATTTTGTAATTAATTTGTGATTATTAGTTTTTAAGTTAAGTTCGCCACGCAGTACAACAGTTTGTAACTTGTTTGTGGTGGTAATTTTTCACACCTAAACATTGTATGTTATTTTATATTTTTGATTTTGTGTGAAAATAAAGATTACTCAGTGTCAGACTCATAATGTGGTTAAAATGTTTTTCTGGGTCATTGGTAAGGTCACCATTATTCACTGATATTTAGGGCTTTTTCTGATAAGTAATCTTATAATACTCAAGGTAGACATGATATCATTTTTGTATTTAAGGAAAAGATTATCAAAGTGGTTGGTTTTGGCAGCTTGCTTGTAGAGCTTAATTCTTTACAAAATTGTACTTATTTTCATTTTGAGTAGATGAACAGTGAAGAAATGTTGAGTAAAGATTTTGCTTATGCTTCACAGAGGTAATATAGACCGTTAGACATCCACTATTTAAATTTAAGGTTTTTCTTGTTGCGATTTTTGTAGGGGAAATGTTTTCATAGAGGTTCTTGAACAAACTTTCGAAATTATTGTATGCAAGGTCAGTGTCTTGCATCTCAAACACTTCAGGTCACTGCTGATTGCTAATTTCATATCGAAATTGGTCAATTGTTAAGGGATTAATGTTTCTATACTTAGGGATCTCTTCCTAATCTGAGCAAGCTGCTTTATTTGATGGGAAAGACGGGAAGGTGATCACATAAATCACTATAAATTAAGCCACTAAAGGTTAGGACATGACAATTAAATGAATTTGAAATAATGTTGTCAAGCAAGCTATGTCTGGTATTAGAAACTCTGGAGTTCGGTAAATAAGAGGAAGATAATGATTGCTAAAAAAGAAAACAACTTTTTTTCGGAAGATAAGAGAAAAGATCTTTTGTGCCACTAGGTGACTTCCGTAACGGCTGGTTTTCTTAGTGCTCCGGTATTTATAGAATGCTACTCTGGTATCGTCGGAGTGCTCTACTACTGAAAATGTTGGTTGATATTTTCTTTCGTCCTGTTATATTTTTTTCAGAATCATCCTGCCGACCATCACATACTGGGTTTTTCTTGGAAAAAAAATCATTTTATTAGGAGAAGTGCCTCCCGATGGGCGCAAATCGCTCTTTTTTTAAATCTATATGCAATGCTCTGGTGTGAATTATACAAAATAAATTTAATGTTCCACATATTGCTCTCATTTTGGAAAACTTTTTTTTATTTTTATCGATCCCCGTTTCTCAAACATGTGTCGTGATTCTTTGGCTAAGTTTTCTATCCTATGCTTTAAAGTTGGTATTTTGATCAAGGAATCCAAAACTGTGGCAACTACAATAGTTATAACCATATTTGGGATTGAGGTAGAAGTTCCTTGATGGAGTGCAGGTTACCCTTACCTGACATAGACAAGGTCAAGTCTAAACTCACGTATTTCCTATTTAAGTCAAACCGTACAGTTACGTGAAATTCAGTCGTTGATAGGATTGCCAAATTTTACTTGTTCTGTAGTCCCCGGTAGAACCTTCCTTCGTCGGCTTATCAACCTTACAATCAGCGTCAGACACCCATCTTTGTATATTAGATTGACAAGAGGTTAAAGCGGATCTTGACATGTGGCTTCACTCCATTTAATGGGAAGGCGATGATTATTGTGGAATCTTGGAGTCATTCGTAAACATGACATTTCAATGATGCGTCTGGATCTTTAGGATGTGCTGCTGTTTTTGGCACACATTGGTTTGCTGTACGTTGGCCAAAGGAATTGAACCACCACCATATTACCCAAAAAGAACTGTTTCCAGTGGTCGCTATATCGAGACCTGTTACCCAGTCTTAGCTAACAAGTGTATACTGTTCAGATCCGACAATCAGGCTGTCGTGACGATTATCAATAAGATGACAGCAAAAGACCCCAATCTGCTTAATACTATTTCGCTGGTTAGTGCTGTCATGTTTACAATATAATATTCTTTTTTGAGGCTAAACATATACCCGGAAAGGAGCATGTACTGGTGGATTTGCTGTCCATATTTCGTTTAGGAATAGCCAAAGCCAATTGTTCCTAACAAATACTGACCCAGTTCAGACACCAATACGTGGAATTCTCGTCTATATCTAAACCTATGTCGAGAATTTGGCATGCGTCACCTTTCTATTTCTTTTTCTCGCTTCCTTCATTTTGTCTGGGCGTTCAACTCATGTTGCTGTATGGGTTTTTTAAGTATTTTACCAAGACTTTTAAGCGAATACCTACCTATACTATCATAATAATTGTATCTACAATTTTAATTATTCTTATGTTATATATTCTGTATAAATTATGTCATAAAAGCATTTTGAAAACTTGGGGGGGGGGGGGGTCAGCCAATAGTTTACACAACATTTAATTTTGTGAGATTGCTGACCCCCCCCCCCTATTTCTGTAATTTTTATTTTGTATGTTTTATCATTTATTAACCATTTTTAATAAATGAATTTTATTCAATTCATGTATATTGCGTTTTTTGTTTGTGTGGCTCAGTGGGTTGTGTGTTGGAGAAGCCTAGGGACACGTTAAAAAATTAATTACTCGCGTCATTATTAAATTCATGTTTGAAGATGTCGATGTTAAAATAACCAAGAATAATAAGACATTTTGTTTTCCCTAGACAATTTAGGTAATACAGGGTCAAACTGGTTGATGAACTAGAATAGATCAAGAGAGGGAGCTTTATATAGAGTGCCAATAACTAGGTTCTTTTAGTTTGGTCTTATAATTTCAAAAGATCGATTGACAAGTAAAGGGGAAAAATTGTAAATCCTTCTTTGGAAAAAATGAAGGCTGCAATAATATCGAATATAAAATTGAGAGATGCTAATAGCTGTTTAATCTGTAAATGTTTTTTTTTGAAATGCTTCTTGAATTGAAATGTATTGTTGTGAAAAAAACAATGGGGCAAAAAAACAAAAACAACAACAACAACAACAACAACAATAATAATAATAACAATAATAATAATAATAATAATAATATATATACCTACCAATTCCTTACTTCTTATTAAATACGGAACGTTTAACTCTTAAACTTGACAAAAAGTACTTGCCTAGTATTGGTGTTTAAATGGATATCTTATGCAAATAGTGAAATTAATAAGAAAATGGGTATTGCTTTGTGAAAAAACAATGGGGCGAAAACAACAACAATAATAATAATAATAATAATAATAATAATAATTAATACCTACCAATTCCTTACTTCTTATTATACACGGAACCTTTAACTCCTAAACTTTACAAAAAAAGTACTTGCCAAGTATTTGTGTTTAAATGGATATCTTATGCAAATAGTGAAATTAATATTTCTTAGCTCATTGCAACGCTATTCTAATGACATGAAGAAATGTTATCAATACGGACTGGTCGTCATGGGACACGCATTCGTAACGGTACTAGGTTTGGTCTAGAGAAGTTCGTGCTTCGAACGTCATTCAATTCATAGAAGCCGCCATAATCATGGTAAAACGATAAAATCGTAGTAGTAACAACGATTTTTTTGTATAGTTGCAAGTATAAACAGGCATTTAACACGATCTATTATTGTTTCGCTTTTTATAACAGCATCGTTACCACTATAGATGCTAGAATTTTTGTCAACAGTTCTTGGGATGATATAATGTGTTGGCTTATGGTTTCAGCCACAGTACTCACAAGATCCTTGTCTTCAGAAGGGAGATGGTGGATATCGCCCAGTGCCGATTGATCCCGAAGCAGTGCTGATTGATCCCGAAGCACTTCAGTGGAGGTACACTGATCGGTCGGTGGTATGCTTTGTGTGTGTGTGGTAGGCAGGGCTCCGTCCTTGTTTGAATCGCTGCTGGGCTGGGACAAACTGTCAGTGGTTTTTACGTTTCCTCGTTTAGATTTATTGGCCGATCTGGGAGCTAAATCTTCCTAATGCATAGATAATAATAATTTTATTAAAATATATTATATTGTATACGTATACCTTAATAATATTGAATATAATTATTTAATTCATATCAATTACGATAAAATGTGTATTATACTATTACTCATTTTGAAGTGCTAATTTACAAGTTAACCTAACACCGGATCCAAAATAATGCTACGTTTTTTGTGGAGAATATATTACTTTTTGGATTTATTTAATAAATCTATAGAATTGATGTCTTTAAATGGTTTGGGAATGTCATTCTGGGCCTTTGTACTTAATGGACTATTTGGCTTAGTAGTATCTTTTTCGAGGATCTGACTTCAGATCTAGATCTCGGACTTTAGCCCTGAAACGAATTTTCTCTACTGTTCCGTTTACAATTTTAAATTATTTGCATTATGTGACCGTTTGGTGTTTTTATGGGCTTATTTATATGCCTATATTAACATATATATTACGCTATTTAAGAATCTATTTTTAAATTTAGCGTTCCGCCATTGATACACGGTAGAGATTGTATCTTTAGATTTCCGATCTTGTCCCCGAACCTCTGACTAGTGCTGTCTGGTAAGCGCTTTGTAGGACGCGTTAAGAATGACACAATATTTTGTGTCTACTGGAACCGAGACTCCCGTCCGAAAACATTCCACAATCGAGTAGCCGCATAGCAGTTGGACTAATTCCATTTCTAAACGGATAGAGTAGATCCGGTTGCCTTCTTAAAGAATACATGGAAAGCAAAACAGTATACAAAAACTTAAATAAAAGGGAAAAAGGATATTCGAAATAAATGAAGTGAGGAAAATTGTATCAGCTCTATAGAAAAATGAAAAGGAATTTGGGACACGTTTATAGAGTAAAAATAATTGATAAGTAATATTTCTATAACATGTGATGAGTAGTATAGACACTTTAAACCTCTTTTTAAATCTCTCTTTAACAAAACATTAGTTAATAAAGACCAACCCTAGATAGAAAAACCAAATACCGTATTACAGATTGATACTCACTTATTAGATTATTAGGGTGCAATCTTGTAAATCCCCAATTAGCTAGTTAATGGAATTTTAGTACCATCTACAAAGGAAATGACCCAAACAATGTAAACAAAAATTAAACCTATTACCTTATTATCTATTTTCCTCAAAATATTTACAAGAAATATAAAAAAAAAAAGACTTTACAAATGTTTAAATTAAAACACATCACGGACTAACCAACAGTCTTAAAAGGACCACTTGAGTGCCTCCTATCTTCCATCCCATTTATTATGTTTCTTGAAGTGCTAATTTACAAGTTAACCTAACATCGGATCCAAAATAATGCTACGTTTTTTGTGGAGAATATATTACTTTTTGGATTTATTTAATAAATCTATAGAATTGATGTCTTTAAATGGTTTGGGAAGGTCATTCTGGGCCTTTGTACTTAATGGACTATTTGGCTTAGTAGTATCTTTTTCGAGGATCTGACTTCAGATCTAGATCTCGGACTTTAGCCCTGAAACGAAAAAATAAAATATTTCAGGCATATTAGAATGGTTAGTTATTGGCTTAAGATATTTATAATGAAAGCCACAAAACTGTAAAGAATTGTCAGAGGATTTGTTAGAGAAAATAGAATTGTGTTTAGTTTGTGATATTAGAGAAATAGAGGATGAATTTCACTTTTTATTTAGCTGCCCTTTATATAATAGTTTTATAAATAGATACCTTAATATTAAAAATCAATTATTTAAGCCACGTATTTTGAAATAAAAAAGAATTAAGATTACTTACAATAAGTATTGAAAAATGTTTTAGTTAAATGACCATCTAAAAGAGAATTTTGATTTTGTTATGTAATACGGGCTGAAGGCCAAAATTACAAAGAGAAAAAAGAAAGAAAGATTCACATCTGGGTTGTATCTATATAATGCCTTTTGTTTGGCTTTGTGTTTATTAGAGGTGCTGCAGTTGAACGTGGGTCTAGCCTAGGTCCATGCTTTAGCTGGTCGAACGTTTTGAACTGTAGGGCCTACCCTAGTTGCCCTCACTCAACAAACAACTCTACCATGTTAATTTAACTTTGTCCTTCTGATTTTACTTCATTCCGTTTACCATTTATATATTGTTTTTATTCATGATCTTGGTGTTCACAACTTGATACGGTTGAATTGCGTATAGATTGACGTGTGACGAACTTCACTTCGTTTAAATAAGATTGCCTATATGG